TTTGAAAAGAATGGCAGGAGTGTCAACTTCTATAAAAATGAATATATGCAGCCTAAATACTTACAAACATTCACCCTGTGTTAATAAAAGATCAAGAAACTGATTGTAATTAGTTAAAAGCTAAGAAGTAAATAGAAATGTTTGTATTATTTTCCTTGTGCAAGCATAAGGAATTTTTTTTAGCAGTTAGCTAGTTTATATTAAATTAATAGACTATATTTAAGAAAGTAAAGGGCACTAGCAATAGACAAGGAAATTCAATTCTGTGAATTTGTTTACTTACAAGTGTACACCATCAAGAAAATTTCTCGTCCAACTCCCTGTACAAAGGCAGCATAGCGTTTACCCAGACCCAGCAGTTCTTAAAAACCTCCAGTGAAGGAGGTTCCCCAAGCTCCCCAGATTTCTTGTTCTGCTGTTTACCTGCTTTTAGTTTTTTCTAACATCTAATTCAACTCTTCTTTATTGAAAATTAACCTGGTTTATAGATTAGATTCATAGAGTCAGAAGGGACCTCAGTGGGCCATCTAGTCTGACCCCCTGCCCATGGCAGGCAAGAAAAGTCACCAACCCTGGGGTCATGTGTTCCCAGCCAGGTGCCTGTCCAGTCTCTTCTTGAAGACCCGCAAGGATGGGGTAAGCACCATCTCCCTCGGGAGCCCATTCCGTATTCTGGCAACCCTGACCATGAAGAACTTTTTCCTAATGTCCAGCCTAAACCCTCTCTCTAGAAGCTTATGGACATTGTTCCTTGTTGTTCCAGGAGGTGCCCTGGTAAACAGATTGTTGCCTACTTCTTGTTGCACTCCCCTTACGCATTTGTACGCCACCACAAGGTCCCCTCTCACCCTTCTCTTGGAGAGGCTTAAGAGGTTAAGGTCTCTTAGCCTTTCCTTGTAGGGCCTTCTCTGCAGACCTATAATCAGGCGAGTGGCTCCTCTTTGGACCCTCTCCAGGTTGTCCATATCCCACTTGAACAGCAGCATCCAGAACAGGACACAGTAGTCCAGCTGTTGTCTGACTAGTGCTACATAGAGGGGGAGAATCACTTCCCTGGACCTGTTTGTGATGCACCTATGGATGCATGACAAGGTGCGATTCGCTCTGCCAACTGCTTCATCACATTGGTGACTCATGTTCATCCTGGAGTCAACAGTGACTCCAAAATCTTTTTCTGCCACAGTGGAGCTGAGAAGGTCGCCCCCCAGCCTGTAGGTATGATGGCAGTTCTTCCTCCCTAGATGTAGCACCTTGCACTTGTCCTTATTGAATTGCATCCAGTTGCTCTCTGCCCACTTTCCCAGTCTGTCTAGGTTGTCCTGGATCTGGTTCCTCCTCTCCAGGGTGTTAGCTGTACCCCATAATTTTGTTGTCCACAAATTTGGACAGGGTGCTTCCCACCCCCTCATCCAGATCACTGATGAAAATGTTGAACAATACCAGCCCCAGAACTGAGCCCTGAGGGACTCCACTGCCCATATCTTTCCAAGTTGACACCGACCCATCCACTACCACCCTCTGAGTGTGACCCTTGAGCCAGTTTGCTACCCAGTCTACTGTGTAACCATCCGAGGCAAATCCCCTCAGTTTATTTATAAGGATGGTATGGGATACCTTGTCAAAGGCCTTCTTGAAGTCCAAATGGATAACATCCACCTTGATTCCTGCATCTAAACAATTGGTGGCCTTGTCGTAAAAGGAAACCAGGTTAGTCAGGCAGGACCTGCCTGCTAAAAACCCATGTTGGTTACCCCTCTGCATCACGTGAGCCAGCGGGCTCCCACAGAAGTGCTCCTTGATAATTTTTTTCTAGGATTTTTCCAGGGATAGAGGTAAGGCTGACTGGTCTATAGTTCCCCAGGTCCTTCTTCCTCCCTTTCTTTAACATTGAGATGACGTTAGCCCTCTTCCAATCCTCTGGAACCTGACCTGAGCTCATATATCCTTGCCAGGGGATCAGCTATGACCTCTGCTAATTCCTTCATTACCCATGGGTGGAGTCCCTCCAGTCCCGGTGAATTGAATACATCCAGCTCCTCCAGGTGTCTTTTTACCGTGTCGGCACTGACCGTTGCTCGGCTGATGCTCCCTTTGTTGGTGTCTGTGATATGTTGAGGGTTCCTCTAGATTCCCATTTAAGAAGATAGAGGCAAAAAACTCATTGAAGAGCTCTGCCTTGTCCCTACTATCTGTCACTAAGCCCCCCTGCCTGTCCTGTATACATCCTATGCTACCCCGCACCCTCTTTTTGCTCCCAACGTACCTAAAGAAGGACTTCTTATTGTTCTTAATCCCTGACGCTAGCCCAAGTTCTAGAGTTGCCTTGGCCTTCCTGACCGACTCCTTGCAGGTGTGGGCCAAAGACGTATACTCCTCTTTGCTAGCTATCCCCTGCTTCCACTTCCTGTACGCCTCTTTTTTTGCCCTTAAGGTATCTTGGATGCCCCTGGTTAGCCGAAGGGGCTTCCTGGACCCCTTGCCCCCTTTCCTCTGCTGTGGGATTGACTCACTCTGAGCCCAAAGAATGGTTTCCTTGAAGAATGTCCACCCAACCTGGACTCTCAATGCATCTAAGTTCTTAGCTCCTAGCACCCTGCTAACCAATCCCCTGAGTCTATTAAAGTCAGCTTTGTTAAAGTTTAGCACCTGTGCCCTGCTGGGTATAATGCCTGCCCTTAACTGGATAGTGAATTTTATCATTTGGCGATTGCTGTCCCCTAAGTTGCCTTGAATCCGTAGGTCCCTCATCCCCTGTGGCCAACACCAAGTCGAGGAAGGCGTTGCCCCTGGTGGGGGACACCTTACCTCCTGTGTTAGGTGGAGGTCCTGAATACAGGTTAAGAACCTGCGAGAGCGGTTAGATCTAGCTGACTGTTCTTCCCAGCATGTGTCTGGGTAGTAAAGGTCCCCCATGACTACCATATCTCTAGACCTCACAGCCTTTTTGAGCTGCTTGGAAAATTCTTGGTCTAGCTCATCATCCTGGCAGCCTGTATTAGACCCCCACCACCAGATCCCTTTCACCCTGAGCCCCTTGGATCCTAACCCGCAGAGTCTCTGCTTGACCACCCTCTGACCCTAGTTTGATTAGGGAAGATGTGTACTGTTCTTTGACACACAGAGCAACTCCTCCACCTTTTTTCCCTACTGTATCTCTCCTATACAACCTATAGCCCTCTATTCCCACCACCCAATCATAAGAAGAGTCCCACCAGGTTTCAGTTAGTCCCACTAGGCCAAAGTTGTTGCTCGCTAGCAAGAGTTCTAGGTCCTCCTGCTTGTTTCCCATGCTTCTGGCACTTGTATTTATACACCTAATACCCCTGGTGGTTGTCCCTGGTCCTCCCTTAAACTTCTGTCTAATAGGATCTTTGCTACATACCTGGGCTGATCTTGTGGGTATCTTTTGGTTCGGTGTTCTGTGGCTCCCTCCGTAGTTGGCCTCCCATTTCCCTGACGAACCTAGTTTAAAGCCTGCCAGAGGAGATCAGCCAACCTGAAAGAGAACACATGCTTACCTCTGGGGGAGAGGTGAAGCCCATCCCACCTGAGCATGTCTCTTGTGCTGAAATATGGATCGTGGTCCAAAAAGCCTTGTCTTTATTCTTGTCTTTCTTGAAGTGGGTGAACAATTGATCCACTTCCTCATTAAAACAGCCTTTTAAATGCTGCATGGCTGGTATGTCTCCATTTTCTCCTTTACTTTTCTCTTTTCTAAAGAAACTGAACTAATGCCTTCAACCTTTCTTCATAGGTCATATTTTTTAAAACCTCTTATTCTTACTAAAAGCCAGTATGAAGCATTTTCTTGTGAAGGAAGGTACAGAAGAAGTTTTTGGCACTGTTGAATTTTGCTATACTGAAAAGTGAATCTGTAGATTATTTACCTTTTGTGTGAACTTTAAATAATCATGCACTGCATCTATTTAACTATCAGTTTACAAAGGTATCTGTTAGGAACACACCTATTTACTTTTGCAACACAAAAGCCAAACAGGTATTAAATGCAAAGGCAGCTTATTTGTAACTGATAAAAAAAAAAGACGCATATTCAGGGACCAGGCACTTTTAATATTAAGCTGTTTTATTATTTCACTGAGGTGAAGATCTTCTAGGATTCAAAGTAGAATTAGATATTTATAGAAAATGTCATCTACATATGTATAGCATACAGCACTTATAATAAAAGGTATAAACCCTCAAGCAAACTGCCTGGATTAAGAAAAGATTTGCAATGGATAGTAATGTGTCAAATGGGATTCAGAGCATGTTGCTTATCTTGCAAATTGACATGGTGCATTTACAAGCAGTGACTGGTTTTACGCCTCTGGTATGTCACATGCCCATTCAAATGAAGAGATTATAAGGGAGTAGGACATTTTGAAGCTACGTGGTGTTCACTTTTTAGCCTCATTTTTTGATGGTCATACTCAGGGTAGATTTTTGTCTTTATGTGGGGTTTGTTGCTTTTAAGTAAAAAAAAAACAAACAAAAAAACAAAAAAAACAAACCCAACCCAAAAAACAAAACTTGGCATAAATGGTTAGACCTTAATGAGCTAAAGGTAAATAAAAATGAAAGTCAGTAATTGCGGCAAAGTTGAGTATTAAGAGTTCTTTTGAGGAAACTTGTTCTATTTGTGTTTCATTACTCATTTTGTCAAGACATGCGTGTAGGGTTATCATTTGTGTCTATGAGCAAAGAAGGCCAGTGATTTATAGCATATTTCTGGTTTAATATATGTGAAAGCCACTTGATAGTGCATGCATACGTTTCATATTGAGATTTTAATGTTAGGATCACTATTGAGCTTTTTAGTTTTTAGAAGTGGCTAGATTGTTTGATCTATGGGTGGCCAATTTAAAAACAGAAACTTTCTGGAAGCTGGCCATGAGTTTTCCACCAGTGTCCAGTTATCAATATTCATGTTTTCAGCTTTGTTTCTTCAACACTGGGAACTCAGAGCAGTTTTTAATTACATTTCTCTCTCCTGTTTACAGCTTCTGGAAATTAACTGGACAGGACTGACTAATCTGCTGGATGTTCCAGGACTGAAGTAAGCAAGCATATATAAAACAGTATGTCAGGAGTTCTGCTTTCTTTACAAATAAAAAAAAATGTTGGAACTGCTAATAAATCGGCTAATGTGTAGGTTAAGTATTTTATAGTTCATATTTTGAAGTTTAGCACCCTGTGGTAATTGTATAACACTGGAAAGTTCATGGTAAAAAGAATTGCAGTATTGTACAGCTGCAAGCTGGTAGAGTTGTTTGAGATATTTCTGAGATCAGAGTTTTCTGTCCATTATTTTTCAGTTTTCAGCTCCGAACCAGCACAAGCTACCACACTGAGTGGCTAGCTTGTTACGCTGTACTCTAAAGTGAAGCTGAACATCCCCATTCCCCTAGCTGGTTGCCTTGTCAGACTGCTCCACTCACTAAGTGTTCATTTGATGGAGAACTATGCATCCAGGCATCCAATTCCTTTGGCTGGTGGGCTCCCAGGCTTCCTTGGGTCTCCGGTTCAGCAGGCAGGCAATTCCTGATAGCCTGCCTAGCAGACCACTGGGGAATTACGCAGACAGGCATGGAATGGTCCCGCCTGCCCAGCTGGGAGGAACATGTGGGGTCAGACAGGGATAAGCTGTGGCAGAAGCACATGCTCCAGCTGCAGTCATTTACACTGCCTGTTGGGAGGGGTCAGAGTGGACTGGGGCAACCCTTTCCATCACATAGCTGGAGGAGTCAATAGCAGGGATATCCAAGACATGTAAGACTACCTGCCTTCTCCCTCTCCCCCTGCCCACCAGCACAGGAGAGTTTTCCCCAAGGCATGAAATGCATTAGTTATGCTTCTGCTCCTGCCTGCTTTGTTTATGAGATAATCCTAACACGGGCAGGAGAACCCTGGTTAGGAATCATTGAGGTAAGCTGAGGCAGTACAGTGGTGGCTCTCAACTGGGGATGCTGCCAAATTCAAAAAAGTTTTGGAGGGGCACCCTAATTCTAAACAGGTTGAGGACCGCTATTCTTAAACATCTACTACAGCAGAGGTGGGCAAAATACGGCCCGTAGGTTGCATGTGGCCCGCCAGGCCATTCTATACAGCCTGCAGGACTGCTAAAAAATTTAGAAAACTAATATTAATCTGCCCCTGGCTGCCTGTCATGCGGCCCTCAATGGCTTGCCAAAACTCAATAAGCGGCCCTCCGCCCGAAATAATTGCCCACCCCTGTACTACAGCCATTGTCATAGACCACATACTGGGCTAGATGGGGCATTGGTCTGACCCAGCATGACGCTTCTTATGGTTTTTCAATTCTGAAAATGTTTAACTTTTCACGGGATGGAAAATTCATTTCCATGCATCTCACGAGTCTGGGAGTGGAGGCGAGAGAGAGAGATATGTCCATGCACACGCTGTCTTCAAAGGCTTGAATTTTTCTCTTTACTTCAGTGTGAATGAGAATTTTGAGAGAGAAAGACAATATATTTTATTTAAATTTCCACTCTTAAAGATTAAAGTAATCCATGGTTATGATTTACCTGAGAAACATAAAAAGAAGTTCTTTTATCTCAAGAAGTGCAGTAAAGACTGACCTTATATTTAAATGTATTCTTGATCTTTTTTTCTTGATTTGAAATGTTAAGGTTTTTTTTCTTTTCAAAGCTTGCTTACTCTACTAAGTGACAGCCAAGTAAACTAGCAAAAACTATTTCTGTTTGTTAGCTGGAAACAGGAGAAAGAACTTTGGCTTGGTTTTTGTATTCCTAAGTTTATAATATTTTGAATTCATGAGTTTATAATTCATAAATTTATAGTTTATAGTTCCTAACAAAATGAAGGAGGAAGAGGTGAAAAACAAGATGTCATGTTATCAGTTTTGATTTTGTTAGTTAGTATCTTGAGTTCTTTCATGTGACAGTTACTCAGGGCTTTTAGCATGTTGTAACATGGGTAGAATGGCTAATGAAAGAAATAACACCATGTGATTTGGTCCAGATACTTGGAATCAAAATGGAAGAGTAGCTAATTGCAAAAACTGAAAATTCCACTGTTAGGGTACCTGTATACGAGCATGGAGGCTGCTCCAATGCGTTGTACTTAGTGCATCAGGGCAGATTCAATTAACGGAGTCTGCTGGAGTGTGATAATTACCATGCTCCAGCAGCTTCCCATGTCTTGTCTATCAGTGTCCTGGTGCTTCAAAACAGCACTGGAGGTGCCTGAACTAAAGCTTGTTCAATGTGCTGATTATCCAAAATGTGATGCATGAGTCACTCCAAGAGCCGCTCTAATTAAAGTGCTGCCACCCCACCCCCGAAGCATGTGTAAAAGTGCCCTTAAAGATTAAAGCAAACATATGAAATAAGGAAACAAGTTCTTTTCTCTCAGATAATGCAATAAAAACGGTCTTTACTTATAAAGAGATTCTTACTCCTTTTTTTGGTCTTATCACTTACCCAAGTTTGATAACTGAAAATGAGAGAGACAAACTCTCAAATGTCATTTGATTCTGAAATTGTCATCTAATCCTTCTTGGATCCTGAATTACAAAAGGTTGCTTTCAGAAATTAAAAAACAAGCAAGCAAACAAACAAACCACACTTTACCAGAAGCAGCAGTGCATTACTTGGATCTGGTTTTGCAGCATCTGTAGAGATCAGGCCCTTCAGTGGGCTTTTTGACACTTTTAACTAAAGCTGATTCAATCAGCTATTAGATAAGGCCAAAAAAGCCCCACTAAAGCACCCTATCTTTAGAGACATCAGGCTAGCTGGGTCCAACAAGGGTGCCTCTTCTGGGCATGCGCGGGGGCTCAGCATGGTAACATGCTGAGTTTGAAAGAAGGCACTGCTTGTTTGTTTTTAACGTTTGCAAGCAACCCATCTGTAGTGTAAAAGTAGCCTTGCTTTACATCAAGATATAAAGCCTTGCTTTATATCAACACAAAAAGGAAGCTTACAAGAAATGGAAGCTTGGACAGATGACCAGGGAGGAGTAGAAGAATATTGCTTGGGCATGCAGGGATGGGAATCGGGAAAGCCAAAGCGCAATTGGAGTTGCAGCTAGCAAGGGATGTGAAGGTAACAAAAAAGGTTTCTATAAGTATGTTGGCAACAAGGGGAGCATCAGGGAAAGTGTGGGTCCCTTACTGGATGTGTGAGTAACCTAGTGACAAATGATGAGGAAAAGGCTGAAGTGGTCAATCCCTTTTTTACCTGGAGCTTCACAGGCAAGGTCAGCTCCCAGACTACTGCACCAGGCAGCACAGTTTCAGGAGAAGGGGAGCAGCCCTCAGTGGTGAAAGAACAGGTTATAGACTATTTAGAAAAGCTGGACATGTACAAGTCCATGGGGCAAGATGCAATGCATCTGAGGGTGCTGAGGGAGTTGGATGATGTGATTGCAGAGCCATGGCCATTCTCTTGGAAAACTTGTGGTGATTGGGGGGAGGTCCCAGAAAATTGGAAAAGGACAAATATAGTACCCATCTTTAAGAAACGGAAGAAAGAGGTTCCAGGGAACTACAGACCAGTCAACCTCACCTCCGTCCCCAGAAAACTCTTAGAGCAGGTCCTCAAAGAATCCATTTATAAGCACTTCAAGGAAAGGAAAGTGATCAGGAACAGTCAGCATGGATTCACCAAGGGCAAATCATACCCAACCAACCTGATTGCCTTGTATGATAAGATGCTGGGCTCTGTGGATACAGGGAGACCAGTGGATGTGGTGTACCTTGACTTTTAGCAAGGTTTTGATATGGTCTCCCACAGCATTCTTGCAGGCAAGCTGAGGAAGTCTGGGTTGGATGAAGTGGATAGAAAACTGGCTGGATCATCATGCTCAGAGGGTAGTAGTCAATGGCTTGAGGTCTAGTTGGCAACCTGCATCAAGTGGAGTGCCCCAAGGTTGCCAGTTTTGTTCAATATGTTTATTAACAATGTGGAAGATGGCATAGAGTATAGGTTCCCAGATGACACCTATCTGGGGGGAGTAGTAGATATGCTAGCAGTTGGGGGTAGGATTTAGAGGGAACTAGACAAATTGGAGGATTGGGACAAAAGAAATCGCATGAGGTTCAACAAGGACAAGTGCAAAGACCTGCACTTAGGACAGAACAATCCCATGTACCAGTACAGGCTTGGGACCAACTGGCTAAGCAGCAGCTCTAAAGAAAAGGACCTGGGGGTTATAGTGGACAATAAGATGGATACGAGTCAGCCATGTTCCCTTGTTGACAAGAAGGCTAACAGGGCTGCATTAGTAGGAGCGTTGCCAGGAGATTAAGAGAAGTAATTATTCCCCTCTCTTCTGCACTGGTGAGGCCACATCTGGAGTACTGTGTCCAGCTTTGGGCCCCCCACCAAAGAAAGGTTGTGGATAGGGCTGTGTGAAGCTTCAGTCCTTGATTTGATTTGGCAGAGATTCGGCCCGATTCAGTAGCCAAATCTCTGAATCTGAATTGAATCTCAGGACCCTTTAATCACTCTGTATCAGATCGGAACCCTCAGAATTGATCTGAAGAAATTCAGAAAGATTCAGGGATTCAGACATAGAGACAGCTTTAAATGTTTTTCCTACATACCTCTAGGTAGCAGGTGTCTCGTGAGCGCTGTGATGCTGGGGTGCATGGAGTGTCCCACAGAAGCATGAGGGGCTCCCCAGTGCACTTGGCAGCAGACCCAGAAGTGGACCAGAAGCACTTCTGGTCCATTTTTGGACCCCCCGGCTTGGTGACTGGTGCCTCCTGGGTTGGGGGGAGGGTACCTGGGGTCCCCCTGCAGCTGATCACTTAGCCAGGGAGGCATGGGGTGGGGGTGCCTAGCATGTTCCCTGGCAGACCTGAAAGGTTTGCCGCCAAGCATTGGGAGGGTCCCCCCACACTCCTGTGGGATGCTCAGTGTGCCCCAGCATTGCAGCAATCACAATCCACACCTGCTACCACAAGGTAGGTAGAAAAAACTTTTAAATCTGTGTCTATGTCTGAATCACTGATTCTCCAAATCAGCATCAAATTTTCAGATTCAGCCGAATTAAATCGGGGACAGTGAT